ACACACACACACACACACACACACACACACACACACACACACACACACACAGAGTCGCATTCAAACAGTCACACACACACACAGTCACATGTCACCGCCAGTCCTTACTGAGAGAGCGTGGGCCAAAAAAACAACTATCTCCCTGGTCTGCCTCTTTTGTGAACTGTGAAACTCTCCGTGGAGATAATGTGGTCTCAGTGTGCATGAGAGAAGGAACAAGTGACGTGAGCAGACCACGTAATTTCGTGACGTTTTGTTTCGCTTCACAGACGATTCCACTTTCTTATAACCCACAAACAGAGTTGTTTTTTTTTAAATTTCAATACGTTTACGCCTTTCAAACTTCAAACTGTCATGTGCATTCATTTCCTTTCTTGGATTTATCTCATTTTTTCTCCTAATTTCATTTCTTTCTTTTCTTGAGATTTAGATCTACTTTCTGTTGTCTTTTTGGGGGTTTTCGGTTGTTGTTTTTTGTTGTTGTTGTTGTTGCTGTTGTTTTGAGAGGTGTTGCTTTTACAAGAGAGGGCGTTTTCTCACCCCCCCCCCTCTCTCTCTCTCTCTCTCTCTCTGTGTGTGTGTGTGTGTGTGTGTGTGTGTGTGTGTGTGTGTGTGTGTGTGTGTGTGTGTGTTTAGTTGTTAGTTCAAAGTTATTAGTTGCTTTTATCTCTTATTTGTTTCATTTTGACGGCAACTTTAATTACTAAGGATTGTGAAGAAATACCAATTCACAAAATTAACTGGTCAGCAAGAAATCTCAAAATAGACTAAGTTCAAAACTGTGTTTTACACAAGTTATATCATTATTATTATTATTATTATTATTATTATTATAATCCACACAAAAAATTATATGACATAATCGTATTGCATGTGCCGTAAAACTCTAAAACAAAAAGAAACTGGTGTCTTCTGTGTGCGACAACGAGGTTCCTAGCCGCTTCACCACAGTCGCTGGTCCAGACATGAGTGATTTCGTAAATGAAAGCCTACATTTTCACCTCACAATGCCTTTTAGAACGGGTGTGGGCGCAAAAGGTTACTTTGATTTCCTAAAGAATACGGGCAAAAAATAGCGACAGAGGGGGATTGGCAGGAGGGGGAGAGGTTGGAGAGTGGAGAAAGGTGG